TATAATTAATAAACCTAATTTATATATTATATCCCTGAATACTGTAATTAGCTAAGGGGGAATATCCTTTTTTCATGCAAGTGTGAGACTGATCAGACCACTGGCCCCGTTCTCCATTTATTCCCACTTCATTTTCCCAGGATTTCTGGGAAGCAGAGGTGATTTATTACTGATGGGAACAAGCCGAGAGATCTGGGTAATTGGTGAACTATGCTGAACCTGGAGTTCCATAGTGCTGATTTATGAACAGGAATGTCATTGATGTGCACCTAAATTCACAGAGTAAAAATAAGAGTGTGACGATCCCACTTATAAAAACCATCTGGACATTCCCATCTCTGGAAGTCCGTGTGTCTGGAGGGGCGCTTTATATGAGTGCGAGTCGTCGAAGAAAGACATTTTTCCTGTTTAAGACAGCTTGGATAAATAGATAGTGGGTTTAGGAGTTCCTAACCTCACTTATGAAGATACTGCGTTTCATACCTCCTACTAGGGCTGCACAATTAATCCAATTTCTAATCGCGATTACAATTATGGATGCCACAATTACGTAATCATTCAAAGTGGCAATTAATCGTTCAAAGTCCACTTATGTTATTCTGCACGCTTAAGATATGTTTTTTTCTTTCTACGTGTTATCTTAAGGGTTTTTCCATTGTTTTAATTTTAGTATAACATTATAATACCATTCATATTTGTACTTTTTTATCATTGAAAGAAGAAACCAATCCGATGTATATTTGACATTTGAGGCTTAAAACTATAGAAAAGCACTAAAAGTTTTTCAGTTAGTGTTTTCAGCTCGTTTATTTTCATCAAAAAATACAGCATGCAGTTGCATCAAACAATGGTATAAACATCATTCAATGTAAATTGTGATAATCGTAATTAATAATCGCAATTACAATTTCAAGGGAATAATCGACAATTATGATTTTTGTCATAATCGTGCAGCCCTACCTCCTACATGCCACAATTATTGCAGAGATCAGAGATAGAGAGAGAGAGAATACTAGAACAGAGAAAATTCTTCCTCTTAAAGAGGCTTTGTTCCAAAACTTATGTGTTTTGTTTAGTCACGTTCACACATACATTATTTACATATAATTATTATTCTAAACAATATTTATTGTTTTATATTATTTTTCAAAATTATATATATGATATAAATGAAACATTTATATGATTTTAAATCAAATATTATATTTAATTAGATATTATATGTAAAAAATAATCAAATATATAGGTTGTATATGTGTTTTTAACCATTTCTGAGTTGCTGCCTATGTAGAGCGTTCCGAATCAATTACTTTTTTTTTTGGTTCAGCTGGAAGGCAGCTGTCTTTGTAGGTGGTAGACTGCAGCAAGGCAACCCACTAGGTTTTGGAACAGCTCTAGAGTCTCTCAGGCAGGAAGCAGTATGGTTCCCATTTTCGAGACCTGTCAGTGACCCGTGAGTGTTCTCGTGTGGTGACAGCGGTGTGTGGTGTATTAACAGAGCATTTGGGACGGGGGGGAGCTGATTTAGGAGAAGAACAAATGGAGACCAAGTACATTCCAAAGATGCTTCTGTTTATCTGCTGCAAAAGATGGATATGGAGCATAAAAGATGGAAAGAAAACTGGAGGAATATAGAGAGAACTGATAGATTAAAAATGTACAAGATGACACAAATATTAATGTTCGGAACCGAGGAGGCATGTAAGACAGATCACACTCCATTAGAGTCTCTGTTTGCAGTTGCATTAATCTAGTCACGTACACAATGCACCATATTTTCACCGTAGCCATTTTGCATGTTGCCGCAGTATGTTGTGGCTGAACAACAACAGCTTTTTGTGAATAAAAAAGTGAGCTTAAATGAGGCATAATTATTCACTATAATAGAAAAGCAAACAAATAGTGAAAAATTTAAGGGGGTCTGAATACTTTCCGTACCCACTGTATATTATGAAAATGAAAAACAGATTTAAATATATTTTTCAGATATAATTTTAATATAATAATATAGTAATATATAAAATAATTAAACATTTACTTGTTATATATTCCATTATTTATATTTATTTAACATTAGAGAAATAAAAAAACAGATTTAAATATATAATTATCTCATATATAATTTTAAGTAAATAATACAAATGTACATAAATTGTGTATAAGTGTATATATATTGTATGTAAACAGTATATATTTTATTAAGTAAACATTTGAATAATAGCTACTTTTTATTATCACTACTACTGTTCATACATAGAGTTAAGAATTTGAACAAATGTCTTATAGTTGTTAAAAGGTGTTTTTTTGTAGTGTTTTCAAGCTAAATTTTTTTCTACATGTCAAGAGACCCTCAACTAATGGCACTTTTTATGACATACTTCACCTATGAATAAAATTTTTTGGCTCCAGCTGTAACGTATGCATTCTTGTTTCAGGTGGTGACCCCAATTCGCGTAGGGCAAACATACGCTTACAGTCCTGCGTCAGATTCATCTCATGACCTCTACGATGTTCCTCCAATTCGTCCACAGGGGGTGAGTGCCACTATCAATAACACATGTACTCATATAGATATCTGCATACATGTATTTACGTGTTAAACACCCACACAGGTATATGATATTCCGGCGAGCAAACAAACTGGACAGCACAGCATTCCCAGAGCCCAGGGCTTTTACGACACCCCTCCTTCCCAAGGCCTGCGATCAAAAGGACTGTATGACATACCGCCAGCATCACAAGGGGTACGAGAATCCTTCAGTTCTTAAGATTCATTATGATGTCAAGAAAATTAGCACATGCAAATTAGGAGTTGTTTAAAATGTTAGCATGTAACTTGTACCACATCTTTAGTGCTACGCAATCTGGTGGTTGATAAATTCGAGTTTGCTTCAAAAAAGTCGAAAGGTGTCAACAAAAATTATGAAAATATATTTATATGCTGCACAGTATTTATTTTAGTGTAGTAGCTATTTTAGTAGCTTTAATTTTATAGTATAGTATTTCTATTTCTGTATAATTATGTCTATTAGTTTATTAATTATTAGTTCAGTTTTAATTATTTTGGTACTGTTAGTAAAGTTTAGTCTGATTTTAAAATACTCCCTTTGCAACTTGCTGAAAAAGTATTTATATTTTATTTTGGCAAATGTTTATTTTATTTCAAGTAATAAATTTTTTATTGCTTTCGTTTTAGTTAACTATAATAACCCTGATGCAGCCCTTGTTCTTTGTCTTGTAACCGAACGTTATTATTTCCCAGAAATTTTACAAAGAAATAAATACTCTGATTTTTATTACTTTCCCCTGGTTAGCAAATTAAAGCCTAGCTTGCCAGCAATGTTGGAGTCAAACTCAGAGTAATGCTCTTAACTCTGCAAGGAGGTCAAAACAGAAATAATTGTGCTGAAGCCCCTCTTAAGTTTCACCGCTACTCCTGGCGAAATGTGTCGCAGTGCCTCGAGTTTGTTTGAAATAAACTGGATGTATGTGGAAGCCTATTATTAGAGTCGTATTTAATTAGGGTTTGTAGAAACCCAGACTCACTTTGAAAGATACGCCTGACAGAAATCACTTACAGGCTGCTGTGTTTATTTATTAACCAGTGTCCTGTTGGCATGCCCCATCTACGCCCATTACGCTGTCAGGTCAATGCCAGGTTTTATCCTTTGGCTGGATAGCAGGATTTTCCATGTCCTATTCAGAACTTCCATGAAATGCAGAACTGGACTTATTAGACTGTCAGCGACTCAAACTTGGTGCTTATTAGTGTTGTCAAGATTTCCAATTTTTGAATTTCCAATTTTGATACAATACCTTGAAAAATATTAATATGCAATACTATTTTCAATACCACAGGGAAAAGTTACACAACATTAAGGGCATAAAATAAACAGTATCTAAGTTAATTTACTACTGACCATAGAAATAATAATGATAATAGCAACGTAATTGTGGCAAAATGCATCAGTTGTGAAACGATAAAATTTTTGCTGTAAAGCAGCATAAAATGCAGTATTGTCATTATTCAGCTCAATTTAGTTCACTGTTAATTCAATTTAATTTAACAACAGTACTGATGTTATAAAGTTCATCGATTATGAAACAATTCGATTCAGCTGTAAAGCAGCTCTACAGAAGACAAGTGTGTTGTTCAGTTCAAGTCACTGTTGTTTCAATTCAGTTCAATAACAGTGTCAATGCTGCAGTGAAATGACTTCAAAGTTAGCTCTACAGAAGACAGTGTAATTATGCAACTTAAGTTCAAGCTTTTATTCTCATCCGATAGTATTAGTGAAGTCAAAATCGAAATACTTTCTGAATGTTAATTGTGTTTTAACATGTGTTTGGTATAATAAACCTGAGCAATGGCATAGTAAAACTGACCCAAACTGAGCAAGCCAAATGCAACAGTAGCAAGGAACCAAAAATTTTGCAGTTGTCAGCTGGCATTGGTGTATCAATACTGCAGTAAATGAGTACTTAATCCGAATTCTTGCTCCCACAGGTGTACTCCACACCACCTTGTCAGAATAACATTGCACAAGACGAAGGGAATTACGACTTTCCGCAGCCTTCGAAGCACAAGCAAGAAGGTATATATGATGTTCCACCACAGTCGCTCTCCAAAGCTTCCCCATGCTCCAACTACGACTTCCCACCCAGCTCTGAGCTGATGTCCCGAAAGGGCATGAACGGCAGCGCCGGCATCTACGACATTCCAGCCAGCCAACTGGCCACAGGGGGATCTCAGGACTTGTATGATATTCCACGTGGAATGCCGCAGAACTGCCACACTTCCACTGAAAGAGATAGAAAAAAGTCAGTTTACGATATTCCACCAGGAGATACTCGGTTGCTCGGTGACGTTACCGAAGGAGTCAACCGTTTGTCGTTTTCCAGCACGGGAAGCACTCGCAGCAGTATGTCAACTTCCTCTTCTTCCGCCGGATCGCCCGCCGAGGGCCGTCTAGCATTGGATCTAGACTCCGCGGTCCAGAGGTTGAGTCGCCTCCAGCAAGGTCTGGAGTCTTCGGTTTGCGCGCTGCAAACTCTTGTGGCATCGCCTCATTGGCGAACGTACAGCTTCATGGAGCGTCACGCCAATGAGGTCCGCGTTTCATTGGAGCGGGTCAAGTGTGCGCTCGCAGATTTTCTCATATTTGGCCGTGGAGCGGCTGCGAATGCCACAATGTTGTCCGATCCGGGAATGCACTCCAAGTTGCGACGCCAGTTGCAACGTCTAGAAGATTCCCATCAGATTCTTCAACGAACACATCAAACTTTAGAAAACAATAGCTGGGCACTTAATATCCTGGCAACGGGCACCAAGCATCAAAACAAGAGTGACGAACTAGAACGTTTTGTAATGGTGTCGCGGACGGTGCCTGACGATGCCAAGCAGCTGGCTTCAACAATAGGGGGCAGTGCGGAGCTGCTTTTCCGAAGAGCACCAATAGAAGGCATCGTTCACCCCTTTACTTGCACCCCAACAGAGAATGATGGTTATGGAGCCCAGACCAAACCTTTCCCTGTATCACATGACAAGGCAAACATGAACAGCGAGAAGTGCGTTAAAAGCTGGATGGAAGATTATGACTACGTCCACCTACAGGTGAGAATCACATCTATCTATCTATCTACATACCTAAAATGCAGATTGTCTTTGAAAAGAAATTAACAGGAATGCATGCTTATTTTTGGGGAGTTAGCAGGAAATTTCTATGTAGTATACTTGTTCCAGTTTGAAATAGCGCTACTGTGCTGAACATTGTGTAGTACAGCTGTAGTGGGCAATGCTGGTAAAATGACGCTACCCTCTCGTGACGCTATGCTCTGCTCAAATGCTCTGTTAATAATAGCTTTGTAGGACTATAACTTATAATTAAACAAAAAAAAATGTGTTAAATCTGATTCTGTTGCATAGAACGGAATAAAAATAATATATTGATATTTAATATTAATATATTTTCTGTCCAATTTTATTGTTTTACTTTCAATAAACATTGTTATTTTATTGCCTTGTATTTTTTCAAATTGGACCCCCCCGGACCCCCCAATACAGTAAAACTGCACATTTTAGAGTGGCCTTTTATTGTGGCCAGCCTAAGGCACACCTGTGCAATAATCATGCTGTCTAATCAGCATCTTGATATGCCACACCTGTGAGGTGGATGGATTATCTATATATATATATTTTTTTTTTTACTGGTGAACTTTTATCCATAAAAAATACTATATTATTATCGGTTTTTAAAAATAAATTAACTATACATATATATTATATTGTTCATTTTTACATTTTGTATTTAACAGTTTTTTTTTTCATGATAATAATCATTTTAAATAGTTCTAACTCAGAATTGCTTTCTCTCACTTAACAGCTGAACCAGTTCAAACAGCTCGAACAGGAAGTGATCAAACCGGTAGAGAACGACATCACCAAATGGATCTCCCACCAGCATTCAACAGGCTCCTCCTCAGACTCCTCCTCTAATTTCTCCATGGGAGGCGGAGCGCCATTGTGTTTGCGCGATCGCCAACTGTTGACTTTCTATGCAGACCAATGCGAACAGCACTTTGTGACTCTGCTGAATGCGGTAGATGCTTTTTTCGGCTGTGTAAAGGCTGGGCAACCTCCACGAATCTTTGTTGCGCATGGCAAGTTCGTCATTCTCAGTGCCCACAAGCTTGTGTTTATCGGGGACACGCTGTCGAGACAAGCCTCGGCAGCTGAAGTGGCAAATCACATCATGAACTTAAGCAACATGCTGTGCGAGATGCTAAAGACAGTCGTGGGCGCCACCAAAATAGCAGCCCTTCACTATCCCAACACGGCCGCTGTACAGGAAATGGTAGATCGCGTGACGGACCTCTCGCACTTGGCGCAACAATTTAAAGTGCAGCTCTCACAGATGGCGGGATTGTGATGTCATCAGCATGATGTCACTTTTAATTTTGAACAAAGACTGTCATTTTAACATATATATTTATACTCGTATAGATGCATCACTGAAAGTTGTCTTTTGTAAATAGTCATGCTTTCTGAAAATATTTGGCTCTATATTTTGTGTAGATTTGTTTTATATAATAAT